GCTTTAACAACCTAAGGGATTAGGGAGAACAAGTAACCAAGGAATCAAGTGGGAATGCACGTAGGTATCCTAGTCTATGAACCATTCTCGTGATTAATAAACAAGGATAAAAACAAGGAATTGCCCCACTCTCGTGGTGAATCAATTCCAAGTCCATCAAGCACACAAAGCATCTAAAGCCTCCAATTTCCCCTATTTTCGTAGGAAGAAATCGGGTCTATGCAAGGGGTGGCTTGGATTCATCACCCAACTCTCGTTGAGGCAAGGAATCATCCAAAAACAAGCTAATGAATGTGTACACCAAACATTAACAAGATATAAATACAAAACCTTCAATACAAGCTTGAAATATGATAAAGAACCTAAATCTACACCTAATCTAACACTAAAATATGAAAAGAAAGAGTAGAAAATAGTTAGGGTTCGAATGGGGTTCAAAACCGAGTAAAAATGAGTGAAAAATCAGCTAAAAAGGAGAAGATGCGGGGGGCTCAACGCGTCGAGAGTAATTCTCAACGCGTCGAGCATTTACAGAATGCAAAACGCGATCTCACTGCCAATTCTCGACGTGTCGAGCTCTACTCTACAACAGAACTCCAGATTGTAGGCTGATTTTGACCCTTTTGTCTTCATAATTAGGCTTTGATGTCTTCATAAAAGTTGTATCCATTCGAGTCTTCTTTCAAATTGCGCAAGAATCACTTCAATTGGAAATTCCTAGGTCGAGATATGATCAAATTATCAAACAGTGGTCAGTTTTGGGCGAAATCTGTATGTTTTTAACTTCAACTTCAAGGATGATTTTGACCACTGTGACTTTCTTTTTAGGCTTTGATTTTTGAATATGAGTTGTAGCCCTTTCAGTCTTCTTTCAAATGGAACAAAGATCACATAATTTGGATATTTCTAGCTCGAGATATGGTCCAAAGACTATGACATCGACGTGCAGGTCAGGAATTGCAATGTATTGATCTTTTGCTTCTCTTTTGCTTTGGTTTGCTCAAATGACCAAGACCATTGAAAACGCCACTCATAGGCTCCCTTGGAAGTTTTTTAGCCATCGTCTTAGCTTCTCCTTGGCTCCCATGGACTCCTAATGCATCCAAAATGCTCCATTTGACTCCAATGTCCACAAAAATGCCTGAAAATACTCATCTTTGTTTCCAAACAAAACTCCTTGCAAAATAATACAATTTAATCATAATCTCATGAAATTTGGAATGATCTATAAGCAAAATGGCTTAGTGAAAGGGGAAAAAATATAGACAAATAAGCACCTATTGGACGACCTCCCGGATGGCCTCTTGCCCCACCGAGACGCATTGGTAATCAGGTTGGAGCTCAAAGACATCATTGTCCACCGGGTACTGGTCGATACGGGGAGCTTCGTGAACGGCATGTATTATGACACCTTCACGCAGCTAGGACTATCTAGGAAGCAGCTCTCCCAGGTACGGACCCCGTTATCCGGCTTCACGGGGGACTCCATTGAGACAGAGGTCTCCATCATCCTCGAGGTGCAGATCGGCACCTCGCCGCACGTCAAGAAGTGGGAGGTGGAGTTCGTGGTGGTAAGGATCAGCTGCGCCCACAACATCATCCTCGGCCGACCTGCCTTGGAGGACCTCAGGTGCATCATCTCCATGGAGCACCTTTGCCTCAAGTTCCCTACCCCCACTGGAGTGGGAGTTGCGGGAGGAGACCAGAAGATCAGTCAGAGCTGCTACTTGAAGGCTTGCTACCAAATAACGAAGAAAGACCTCCAGGTACACAGTGACCAAGAAGGCGCTTCAATGCAAGATTATATATGAGAAGTTCATACATAAGTAATTTAATGTTGAATTTAAATATGTAACTCATAGTATATGAATACAATGTAATATAGGAGATTTAATATGTAACTCATAGTATATGAATACAATGTAATATAGGAGTTTATTTAAATATGTAACTCATAGTATATGAATACAATATAATACAGGAGATTCATTATAATTGTTACTAAACTTTTTTTTTAAATAGTAACCAAATATTTTTGTTGCAAAGGGTTCTAATATATTTAATGAATGCACATATATACAAGATCAATGAATGAATTAACGGTACCAGTCCTTTAGGTGTTTTGCTCCGTGTTCATTTAGTTCAACCATTATTGTTGAATAAATTATTATGGATAAAGAAATTCCTAATTTAAGGAATTTAGATGTAGTAAAAATTTAAAAATTTTAAAAATAATGTAACCCAAAGATATTAGACGATTGGTAAATATGATGTAACCCAACGATCAAAATGCTAAAGAAAGTGTTTGGTTATTCAACAGTTTGAAACAACAATTTGTTCCAAACCACTGAAAATACAAACATTGCAATTTACAATATTTTGACTTAGCGTTTTTGAGAATGATTTCCCCAAAACACCTCTATATTAAAAAAAAAAAAAAAGTTTATTGTAGAGTCATTTCAACTCCATGAATAACAAGGTCAAGTTTCGTTGGCTCACTGCTTGCCCATCAACAGATAGGCAAGCTTAATTTTTAAATTGGAGCCTTAAGGCTCCTTTTATTGGAGCCTCACGGCTCCCATGCCATTTTTCCCACCGATGTGAGAAAAGTGGCAAAACTAAGGAGAGCCGAACGTTCGGCTCCCCATATGTTTTATTTGTTTTATTTTTTTATTTTATTTCTTTTATTAAATTACTATTTTTAAATTTTTTTAAAACAATTATTATTATTATTATTATTATTATTATTATTATTGTTGTTGTTGTTGTTGTTGTTGTTGTTGTTGTTGTTGTTGTTGTTGTTGTTATTATGAAATATATGTATACCCTTAGGTCATTTTACATGGTAATCTAAACAGCTAAATTTTTCAAATATCTTTTTACCAACTGTTGATATAATTCGCTGGTCAAATCCGCTAATATAATCCGCTAACTGTTGATTGTCAAACAAGGACATTGCGAGGTAGTTTCTCACTTCACTTTGTTGTGTGATTTGAATTCTCTCTTTGTCAACAAATCTCTCAAGTAGTTAATATGCTTGCTTTATTAATTATATATATTTTTTATTTTTCATGGTATTACTAAAATACTTGGTAAATAAATATATAATATTTTTTTGAATTATAACTTTGATATTTAATTAAAAAATAGTGCACCAAAAAAAAAAAAAAGATAATAGACAATGTAGTAAATATCATCAATTATTAAATTTGAATGTAAAGAATTTTTACATTGGAGAAAAATAAAGACAATATAACTAATGAAATTATTTTTAAGAATAAATTAGGAAATCTAAGGAAAAATTAAAATATAATCAATCTGAATCATTCATTTGATTAAATTAAAAAAAAAATTGAATGATACTAGCTCAATGCTTTTTTTTTTTTTTTGAATGCTACTATTACAATGTAGTATCTGTTCATATACTTTCTCAAACTACTAAAACATAAAGAACCAATAAGGCCTTCATTGAGGCTCTCACAATCTTCCAAATGGAAGTCCAACTCGAGTACCATTAAACCACACAGTCTTGGTCTCTCCTGACTTTTATTAACATAGTAGATAGTAGATTTCATCATATATTAGTGACCATTAACAATATAATTAGAACTATTCTTCATCACCTATACTTTCTACTTTCCATTAATTCACCGAAAAATGTGAATCTTTTTTTCCTCTCTCATGATTATATTTTCTGTTTAAACTCCAAAATCCCATGCATTTCAAATCACCCCATTTCTCCACATATCTCCGGCGCCACACCAATAACCCATCTATCTAATAACATGGCCGCCCTTCCCCCTATCCTCCTCATGATCCTCTCCCTGGTGGCATTCACCACCGCGGCGGCTGCCCACCGTTCACCTCCCTCCTACGAGACCCGCCTTGTGAGGACCTGCGCGGAAGCCCTCGGCCCCGGTGGCGCCTCCTTGGTCACCTTCTGCGCTCGCGACTTCCTCGGCCACAAAGCCGCCGCCTTGGCCGACTTTGGGGGGCGGGAAACCATGGCTCTTGTCCTAACCGAATCCTACAAGAGAGTGGAAGCCTTCGGGGATTTCGGGATGAAAATAGCCTCCGACAAGTACCTGTCTGGAAAAGACGCCGGAGATTTGATGAGGTGCTGGGGATTAATGAACAACGTTGTGAGTTCCGTCGGGAACATTTACGGCAACATTGCCGTGAAGAAGCTTTCGATGGATGCGGTGCTGAACGGGGCGTACAAGAAAGCGGCGGTGGCGAAGGAGAAATGCAACTTCTCCGCCGCCGGGAGACACGGCGGTGTTTGGTCGGAGTTGCAGTTGAAGGCGAAGGAAACTGTTAAAGCTGAGATCGTAGCGTTGGCGTTTATGAATCAGTTTCATGCAGTACTGAATTAATAAAGGGTAATTGAGTGGGGCCCGGGGTGTGTTTAGTGGCACAAGAGTAATTACAATGGGAAGTGAGGGGAAACTGATTTTCTTCATTTCCTAAATATAATGTTCATTATCACCATACATGTTTTTGTACTGTAATTACTCTTAACTTATATATATAATGTGGAGATAAATGGATTACATTTACAATTTTTCACCCATGCTTTCAACATACCTCAGCTCCTTTAATTTTTTTTTTTTTTTTTTTTTTTTTTTTTTTTTTTATAATTACTACTATATTATGCTAGGTTTACAATTAATCTTTATTTTCAATTGCAAAATCAAACTAATAAAAAGAATATTAAAATCCAACGACCTACATAAACAATGTTAAACATGCATGGATTCCAAAGAGTTTGAGCAATTTAGCTACGATTTTTTTTTTTTTTGGTATATAACAAGTAATGGGTCTCACTTTCGGTGTGAGATTAATTCAGTTTTTTTTTCTTTTTTTTTTCTACAAGATTAACATTGACCAATTTAACTGAAGTATATTTGTTTGGGAAAATACTATATACTTTTTTTTCTTTTTTGAATGAATTAGAATCAAATGTGTTTAGTATTACTCATTTATTTGTTATGGAGGTACAAAGACTTTTAATTAAAAAAAGAAAATGGAGTATTGGATCATTGTGAGGTTTTCTCCTCCCATGAAGCTGTAGGTTTGTTGCTAGCTTGATTGTTACAAGTCAACTTCTTCCTATTCCCAATGATCATATCGTTATCTGAGTAAAAAAATAAAAAAAATAAAAAAAAAAGAAATTGGAATTGAATTTAATTTGCCCTCTTCATTAAAAATGAATTTGAATTTAAATTCCCTCTTGATAAAAAATGGATTTTGTAAATGTAATATTTAAAAAGAAAAAAAAAATTGTAACTAAACTTACCAGGGCTAGATAAGACTGCTCGAGGACGAAAAAATATATTATTAGGCCGTTGTGAATTTGAAGTTTTGTTCTTCTCTTGATTAATGTCCTTTCCATTTTTTATATTCCTATTTCTACCTGCAAATTTAAAATTGAAATAGGAATTGTTATGGGGTATTTTAATATTTCTCTAAACCAAATCTTTTTTTTTTTCATAGAATGATTTAAGTTTTTCCAACTTTGGAGGTAAAGAAATGCATTGGAAAGTGGCCGAAAGATGTCTTTTATGTATATGAAACGAATCAAATGAGAATTGACGAGCATGAATGAGAGAACTAGGAATTAATCACAGCCGTCTATCTGAAAAGATAAAATCGATCAGAAGCAATTTAACAATGTCACCATGTTTAAAAAAAAAAAAAAAAAATAAAGGATCTGATGCGTGCTTGAATTAGTTCTTAGTTTTCTCTTCCCGTTCACAGCTGAGCGTGGTTCCCGTGTGGACAGGGTTTTCCTTGCGGTCGTGCGGTCATGCACTATTAGATATGCATAAATGCACTACAAACTGTTCGGTCGTGCAGTCATGCACTATTAGATATGCATGAATGCACCACAAACTGTTCGGGAATGCACCATTAGGTGTGGTGCACTTTTGTGGTGTATTTATGCATTTCACTTTTTGCATTTTCAAACACTATATGGTGCATTTATGCACACCTAATGGTGCAATTCACACAACCGCACGAGATGTCCTGGCCGCATTTGAACCAATATATATATATGGTGCGGGTATAGCTTCCCGTGCGGTTGACGCACCTTAAGCATTAAAATGGCTCACCTTAAGTACATAAACCACGCACCTTAAGCACACAAACAAAACACTTAAGTACACAAATAATCACGCACCTTAAGCACACAAACAAAGCACCTTAAGTACACAAACCATGCACCTTAAGCACAAAACAAAACACCTTAATTAAGAATACAAACCACACACCTAAAGTTTTAAAATGGCTCACCTTATGTTTCACACAACTGACGCACTTTAAGCATATAATTAAATCACGTACGCACCTTAAGAAGGAAAACCACGCACCTTAAGTTTCAACAACTACTCACATTAAGCACAAAACCCACGCACCTTAAGCAAAAAAACCATGCACACCTTAAGCACAAAAACCACGTACCTTAAGAAGGAAACCACGTGTCTTAAGTTTCACAACTACTAGCACACAACCCATTCACCTTAAGCACAAAACTCATGCATCTTAAGCACAAAAACCACACACCTTAAGAAGGAAAACCACGCACTGCAGCTTAAATTTGACCTAGATGTAAAATTACCAAATTGTCACCGAATTTTTTTTTTTTTTTTTAATTTTGGTAATCTTGGACGTTGATTTAAGCAAGATCAATGACTTAGATTTAACCGCACAACCGCACGAGAGATACTCAACCGCACGGGAATTGAATATATATATATATATATATATATATATATATATATATATATATATCACATAGATCAGAGAACAATGAGAAAGATATTTAGAGATCAGAGGATGTGAAGAACTTACCATGGTGAAGCTGGAGAGCATGAGAGGTTTTGAAATTTAAGGTTGCAGGTGGTGAGAGTTGGCAACCCATTTCTGCATTAACACCCTCATGATCAACCTTAACCTTTATCTTAGGATACACTGCAAATGTTGAGGGAGGCAAAATCAAAATGGAGAAGATCAGATTTCATGTTGTATACAAACATTAAATTGTCACATATGTTTTCTCAGCTCTATATAAGAAAACTTTACAATAAATGTCAACCATGCTTTATACATTTATACTTTATGCTTTACAAGTTCTACTCTCTATGTATCTCTAGCAAAGAATGCATGCACAGGGTAACAAATTAAACACATGGCATTGTAAAATTTCTGATTTATATATAGGAGAATACTCATCCTTTGGTTACGCACCTCTCTCCCTTTCAGACATAATGACACCGGAATAGAATTGAAAATACCAAAATCTTTCTCGTATAAACTAAACTTGTAGTACTGGCCTGGGAAATATATGATGCCTTGTTTTCTCAAATTCCAACTTAAGTTTGTAAGTTTGTGTGTATATATGTGTGTGTGTGTGTGATGTGAGATAGAAGCAAACAAATAGTGAGGGCTGACAAAGTTAAGCTAACCCATACCCCTTTGCTTGGCTTATAAATCTATCAAGAACAAGAAATGAATGAATTCAAGTATGTTCGGCTGCGGAAAACATTTTTGCAGTTACACTTGGTTGTAATGTTGCGTGCAGTGGACAGCATGGCATTCATTACGTCCCATGTTTTATATAGTTAATTTATGTTTTGCAAAAATTGATGTTTTATTTTATATATTAAAATTGTGTTTTGAAAACAGTTTAAATGTGTTCTATATTAAATGATAGATGATTCTGTTTTCTATTTTGAAAACAGTTTTTAAGTGTGTTTCAGTTTTCCGAAAATTTTCAGAAATTATTTTCAGTTTTGAAAATGGAAACTGTGTTAGTAAACATGTTTTCTGTTTTCTATTTTCCAGTTTCCGGAAATTTCCAGAAATTTCCAGTTAGTAAACGGCCCCTTAAACTTTCATTGGGTAACGTTAATTTTTTAATTTAGTTTTAAAACGATAATCTTATATTTATATATGAAAAATAATAATAACGTCATTCCAATTAATTAAAGACACAATTACTAAACACTCCATACCTAAAATATATAACAATAAAAAAAAATTAAATTACCGAAAAAATCTAAACCACCCATAAAGAACACATCAACGCCCAAGATTAGTCCACACTTCTCATGGGGGAAAGTGTTCTTGATCATATATATATATATATATATATATATATATATATATATATATATATATATATATATATATATATATATATATGGTCCATAATTAATAAGGGAAGAATAGTGTCCCAAGTGAGAATCTGTGGACAAATTCAAACCATTGATCTAATAGATCTGATCTTGAAAATAAACTCAACTTTGTAATATTTATGAAAATGACACCACTCATTTTTTACTTTATTTTTCATCCACTAAATCTTGCAGAATAATGAATGGTTTAGATTTGTCCATAAGTTCTCACATGTTTAGGTAAACATGTTTAAATTTGTTGAGATTCTATTGAACAACTTTAAATATTTTGTATATGTAAATTTCTTGAAACCTTTGAAAGGAGTTGTCATAATTGTACTCATAATGCTTATTACGCTTGTAATACTTAATAATGTTAAATATAACATAACCATAAATTTGTAAATTTGTATATATATGCATGTGGTTTATTAATTAATACCTTAGCTTAGAGTAATAATTACGTACTTTTATTAGTTTATATGCTCCTCTATAGTAATTAATTAATATTATAATAATACAAGTGTTTGGAAACTATCTTTAATTATAGGATATTTTTCGTTAATGTTTTATTCAATTAATAAATAATGTTATTTCAAGAATTTTTAAAATAAATACAAATATCAAATAATATGTCACCTTTTAACAAATTTTTAATAAATAAATATTGACATGTATAGAATAATATTTATTTGAAACTATTAAAGTATGTATATATATATATATATATATATATATATATATATATATATATATATATATATATATGTAGTATTTGTTGCCAAGCACCTTGTGCACGTACAGATGGCACTCGGGTTGGATTCCATATGGGAGATTGTGAGTTTGAGTCGCGCTTCAGTAGGTTGAGAAAGTTGAGAAAGTGCAGATACTACATTGTAAAGAGTCAAACCATCGGGTTGGACTCCCATATGGGAGATTGTGAGTTTGAGTCGCGCTTCAGTAGGTTGAGAAAGTTGAGAAAGTACAGATACTACATTGTAAAGAGTCAAATGACCATCCAACTGTATATGTTGACAATTATTGTATTTAAATATAATTTTATTTTAATGTTTTAAATAAAATAATCATTTTAAATTAAAAGAAAATGTTGGAGACAAAGGGACCGGGTTCCCTTTGCGCCTCCGTGGCTGGCGAGTTTTTTTTTAGGGACTCAATTTAATGTGTATTTGGATAACCTTTTTTACTCTTATTGCTTGTTAAAATTAGCATCGAATTGAATCTTAGTGAATGAAAAAGAAGAAAGGAGAAATTATGATAGTCAAAAATGTAATCCATTGATCTCCACAAGTAAGCAAGTAGTAGTGAAGTAATAATGAAGATTTAGGAAATGAAGGAAATGAATTTCCCCTCAGTTTGCGGTTATAATTAATTACCACCCGGCATTATCAAAAAAAAAAATAATAAAAAATTAATTACCACCCGGCCTTCTACCACGAAATACACACACATCTGGGCCCCACCCTAATCCAGTATGGAATAAAGCTGATTCACAAACGCCAACGCCACGATCTCAGCTTTCAAAGACTCCTTCACCTTGGACTGCAACTCCAACCAAAGACCGCCATCTCTCCCGTCGGCGGAGAACTTGCACTGCCCCTTCGCCACCGCAGCTTGCTCATACGTCCCTTCCAACACCACCCCGATCGACAGCTTCTTCACCGACACGTCGGCGTAGATGTTCCCCACCGAACCAACAACCTTGTACATCGACGCCCAGCAGCTCTTCAACTCCCGCGCCTCTTTCCCGCACAGCGACTTATCCGACGCTATTTTCTGCCCGAAATCCTCCACCAGGTGGGATCGCTTGCGGGCTTCCCTTAGCACGATCGCCACGGTTTCTCGCTTCCCGCTCCCGGCCAGGGCGCCGGCCTTGTGGCCCAGGAAATCGCGAGCGCAGAAGCTGACCAAGGAGGCGCCACCCGAGCCCAGGGCTTCGGTGCATGTCTTTAGAAGAAGGGTTTCGTTGGAGGGAGGTGAGCTGCTGTGGGCGGCGGCGGTGGTGAAGAGGATGATAATGGTTAGGAGGATAGAGGGAAGGGCGGCCATGGTGTGGGTGGTAGGGGTAGGATGATACTATGTACTGTGGAGATAGGCGGGCGGGGGTGATATGCCTGCGTGGGATTGGGGAGTTTATATAGAAAAGATATGAGCAAAAGATTCACATTTTTTGGTGGCCGGAAATTTTGAGTTGGAGAAATTAATGGGGGAAATGCGAAGGCATAGGCATTTATGAAGAATGGTTCAAACTTTTAATTGTTGTGGACATTTAAAAACAGGTTATTTTGACTTAAATTTTCATCCACAGCTTAGCTTCGATCATATAATGCAAGTAGATGTACGTAATGAGAGTTCTTCACTTCGTTTTAGTGTTGATTTCTCCATTTACAAGCTAGATTCCAATCTCTTCGCTTTGTAGGCTGACTTTTAACCCCTTTTTCTTCAGAGTTAGGCTTTGAGTTTTTCAAGCAAGTTGTAGCCCTTCGAGTCTTCTTTCCAATGACGCAAGAATAACTTCATTTGGACATTCATAGGCCGAGATACGGTCCAAATACTAAGACGTCGATGTGCACTGCGAGAATTGTCATGCCTTGTTCTTTTGCTTCTCTTTTGCTTTGGTTTGCCCAAATGATCAATACCATTGAAAACACCACTTTTAGGCTCCCTTAGAAGTGTTTCATCCATCTCCATAGCTTCATAATTGACTCTCATTGACTCCAAATTCATCCAAAACGCCCCAAAAGCACACAATTATTTTCAACTTAACAATTTATGCATCTAAAGATATAAACAAAGGAATTAAGGCACTTCTTTGCATAAAATCAAAGTGTTTATCACTCATTATAGATCTATATGTGGGATAAAAATATGAACACAAGTGCACTTATTAATAATATATTTATATATAATATCTATATATAGTAGGGTTTCTATTTTGTGCTACGGTTAATTTTAGAAATTGGGTGAAATGTTGGGCTTGGGTAATTTGGGGTCAAGAATAATATATATATATGGGCTTAGGGAGTTTGATAGACTTAGGGAATAAAATTCATTTGGGCTTAGAATATTCTAATAGTTATGAAATAATATTAGTAGGCTAATTTCAAATAGGTTTTGGATAATAAATTTTAGGGTCATTAAAATAGAGTATTTAAGGCCCATAACCAAATAATTGATTTTGAAAGTATTTTCACTAAAATATTTAGTAATATAAAATAATTATATTTTAAAAATATTTATATTTAAAAACGAATAAGGGTCAAATAGGTCATCGAACTGCACATGATAATACAATTAGGCCACTGAACCCAAAAAACCAACAATTGAGTCCCTAAACTAACCAATTCCTAACAATTTTTCCAATTTGAAGATTTCTAACAGGTTTCAATGGCTAAAGACGAAGAAACTCTTCGTCTCCATGTCCGGCCGTGGAGACGAAGAAACCGGCCGGAGACGAAGAAACTTCTTCGTCTCCAGCCGGATTCTGTTTTTTTTTTTTTTTAATTATTTAAATAATTAATTTTCAAATTTTATTTTTTTAAAAAATAATTAATTTGGGAGGATGATCTGTTAACCTGTTGGGAACTTACAAATTGAAAAAATTGTTTGAAATTGGTTAGTTTAGGGACCCAATTGTTGGGTTTTTAGGTTCAGTGGCCTAATTGCATTATCGTGCGCAGTTCGATGACCTATTTGACCCTTATTTCTATTTAAAAATAATATTATTTGAAAAGACGGGGTGTTACAAAACTTATACAAGAATCTATTGTGTTGAAGAAGATAAATCAGTATAGAATTGATCAACTACAATTTGATTTTGTTAACAATGAATTTACACAAAATGATGTAGAAGTAGATTCTCAAGATCCAAGATTATCACAATATACTTCACTAGTACCTCAAGAGATAAATGTGGAAGCAAGTTCAACAAAGTATTGAGACAAAAAAAAAAAGAATTAAAATTGAATATGAAGGAAATAGTAGTTCAATAGAGGAAACAAATTGAAATAATGTGTTAGAAAAATTATCTAATACTCTTGATTCAATTGCGGTTGATATCCATACTTTAGTGCAGAAAAGGGAAAAAGAAAATAATTACGTTGTTGGGATGCTATTAAGG